TGGGACAACATGTCCACCTTTATTGAATCCCTGCCAGAGGATAAAAAGATACTAGCTCAGACCTTCCAATAAGAAGGTCTCTCTGTTGCTAAACAACAGACGTTTTCCGCCCGCCACACCATAGATGCTACAGCCAAGTCCATGGCTGCTTCAGTAGCCATACACCATTTTTCCATGCTCAGAATGGCTGGCCTAGCCGAAGATGCTCGGGCACATATTGAAGACCTACCCTTTGATGGAGCAGGTCTTTTTCAAGCTGAAACTGACGATATACTAGAGAACGTACAAAAGAAACGTTCAGCAACCAGACGTTGGGGAGTTTCGCCTTCCTACCAGCAACGTCCTCAGCAAAATCAATGGAAATGACCCTATAACTCCTACCAGAGGTTCCAACAAGACTCTCCACAACAAACCTCTTACAATCCACATTTCAAAAAACCAACGAGCCAAAACCCAGCAACAGCCTGCCACTAGGCAGAATGACCGGAAACCCAAACACCATGTTTGATGTTCCTCTGACCGAGATCACCACCCACCCCACCAACCCTGCCCTCTGGAAACACGTACCTGCATGGGAATCCGTTTCCACAGATTCCTGGGTACACTCCTTCATCAAAAATGGCTACCGCATCCACTTCTTCGAACTTCCTCTGACAACATATGTCATTACTCCACTGTCACAACCCCTGCAAGAAGAAATAATGAATTTACTTCGCAAAGATGCCATACAACCCATCTATCAAAACAACTCCGGGTTTTACTCTCGCTATCTCACCGTCCCCAAGAAAGACGGGGGATTTCGCCCTATTCTAGATTTAGGATTTTTAAACAACTACATTGTCACCACAAAATTCCGCATTGTTACTCTAGAATCAGTTCTTCCGTTACTTAAAAAAAATGACTGGTTCACCATCATAGACCTAAGAGATGCCATATTGCAATACATCCAACACACAGAAAATTCCTTCATTTCCAACTTGGATCACAAGCATACCAATTCAAAGGACTCCCATTCGGTCTTGTAACAGCCCCAAGAGCATTAATCAAGTGCATGGCGCCTGAGGTAGCCGCCTACCTCAGACTTCAAAACATTCTTGTCTTTCCATATATCGACAACTGGCTCCTTGTAGCACACTCCCGTTGCGAAGCTCAATGAGACACCTGTTTCACCCTTGCCCTTCTTCGCAATCTTGGTCTATCAATGAACAGAAATCAAAATTAAACCTATAAGGACTATACATTACATAGGCGCGCTCATAGACCACACAAGCTTGCACGTTCCTCCCTGCATAAAAGAGACAAAATCTCTTCACCTTACTTCACAGCTTCACTCTGCATGCCTTGATACTACCTGCCTTAATGGTGCAACGAGTTCTAGGCATCATGGCCTGTATGATATTAGTTGTACAGCATGTGCGTCTCAAAATGAGATCTCTCGAATCCTGGTTTCTGGCCCTATTTGATCCACTAACAGACTCTCTCCACACTCTCCTAAGAGTCACTCCAGAACTGGCCTCTCAACTTCAATGGTGGCATTCCCATACCAACCTTTCTATCAGGCAACCGTTACAACAACCTTACCCGCAAATACAAGTCACTATTCGACTGCAGTTGCACTGGCTGGGGGGCTCATTACAAATCCCTCACACTCCAGATAAATGAGTTGGAGCTACTAGCCATCATAAAGGCTTGCCAGGCTTTCAGAAACCTTTTTGTAGGAAAAATGGTATAGATCGCCACTGACAACACCACGGCGATGCACTACATCCTAAAACAAGGCAGCACCCGCTCCCCAGGTCTCCTCTACTTAGTGGGAGTGGTGTCTGCAACATCACATCTGTCTCACAGCCTTACACATCGCTGTTCAAGACAACGACCCAGCAGACTCACTCAGCCATGCAGATGCCCAAGCTCACATGTGGGAACTAGATCAATCAGTATTCCCCCAACTATGCCGGAACTGGGGCACACCGACTCTCAATCTCTTTGCCTCCTGAGTGAATTGGAAATGCCAACTGTATTGCTGCCAAGCAGGAATAGAAAAACATCCCCAGGGAGACGCATTTGTCGGCCATTGGCCCAAGACTCTTACCTGCCTTTTTCCGCCATTCCCTCTCCACAAAGTTGTTGTCCGTATACAACAAGACAAAATCAATCTTTATAGCCCCTTGGTGGCCAAGACAGACTTGGTTCCCAGTTCTCCACAGTCTCTCCTCAGACATCCACCATCTCCCCCACCTGCCACACCTTCTCACACAGAACAACTCCCAGGTCCTACAACCAGACTTACCTGTTCTGCACCTGGCAGCGTGGAGGATTCTCCCTCATTATTTATTTATTTATTTTTATTTATTCTATTTATATCCTGCCTATCTGGTCGATATGACCACTATTTAATGAACATTCTTCATCATGCCAAAAAACCATCCACAAGGAAAGCCTACCTGTACAAATGGAAGAAATTTAAATCCTTTACCAAATCTTCCTCATCATCCTCCATCAATCCATCACTTTCCACTGTTCTCTGCTTCTTCCTTCATCTCAAATCCAAGGGCCTCTCTATCTCACCCTTGAGAGTCTACCTTTCAGCACTAATATTGTACCAAACCCCAAATTCTCCAGCAGGAAACTTCTTCAAACATCCAACAATGAAACGTTTTCTGAAAGGTCTCTCTCACATCTATCCCAATACTCGACCTCCCTCTCCACAATGGCCACTATTTCTTGTTTTGAAACAGCTAACCAAACCTCCTTTTGAGCCATTAGCTACAACTGACTTAAGACTCCTCACCTTTAAAACAGCTTTTCTCGTAGGCATCACCTTGGCTCAACGAGCTAGTGAATTGGCAGCTTTACACTATGACTACCTTCCTCTACAATTTTTCCCAATAAGGTGAAGTTATTCATGGACATTTCCTTCCTCCCCAAAATTGTCTCTCAATTTCATCTTTCCCAGCCAATTGTCATTCCCTCATTTTTTCCGTCACCTTCTTCAAGCCAAGAAAAAATAGTCCATATGCTGGATGTCAGAAGATCTCTTGCTTTTTATATCCAACATACCCAACCTTACAGAGAGTCATCTTGTCTCTTCATAAGCCATTAGCTACCTACAAAAGGCCATCAGGTGACTTCCCAATGTATCTCCAGATGGGTAGCCTCTACCATTCATTTGACTTATCAACTTGCTCAATAACCAGCCCCTAGAGTGGTTTGCCCTCACTCCACCAGGGCAGTGGCAGCCTCTACAGCCTTTCTCCATGGCAAACCTCTTCCGGACGTCTGTGTGTCTGCCCCTTGGGCACAGCTGTCCAGATTTATCCGTCATTATAGACTCGACCTCCATCAAAAGTCTGATGCGGCCTTTGGATGTGCTGTTCTAGCCTCTACTTTGGTGTGACACCCTGCCTCCAGACAGAGAGTTATCTTGTCTCTTCATAAGCCATCAGCTACCTACAAAAGGCTGTCAGGTGACTTCCCAGTGTATCTCCAGATGGGTAGCCTCTACCATTCATTTGACTTAGCAACTTGCTCAATAACCAGCCCCTAGAGTGGTTTGCCCTCACTCCACCAGGGCAGTGGCAGCCTCTACAGCCTTTCTCCATGGCAAACCTCTTCCGGACGTCTGTGTGTCTGCCCCTTGGGCACAGCTGTCCAGATTTATCCGTCATTATAGACTCGACCTCCATCAAAAGTCTGATGCGGCCTTTGGATGTGCTGTTCTAGCCTCTACTTTGGTGTGACACCCTGCCTCCAGGTAAGACAGCTTATTAGTCAACCAGGATGTGATTCACAGAGGTCACGGAGAAGAACGACAGGTTACCCACCTGTAATTGTAGTTCTTCAAGTGGACCTCTGTGATTCACACATCCCGTCCCTTCTCCCCTCTGTCACGCCATTGTTTACTTACTATTAAGTGGCGGTGGACACAACTGAAAGGGAATGCTTGGCACCAAGGTACTTATACGGGTGGGAAGGGGCATATTCTAATGTGTTTATTGCTACCACAGAAGCTCTAGAATCTTCCAAGGAGGCTCTGCGCAGGCGTCAATCACTCAGGGTGTGAATCACAGAGGTCCACTCAAAGAACTACAATTACAGGTGGGTAACCTGTCATTCCCATAAGCACTTCAACTATTAGGTAACAAAACTAGAATAAATATTGTCAATAATCTTTGCATTGTTCTTGAGTTCAGAACATGTCTCCCAGCCTCATTTTCAGCAGTTGAAGTAGAATGCTATTAGGAGTCTGGGAGCTGGAAAACCCAGCAGTTATCCTTGTAGGTAGTTAAACAGAGCTAGAGAAAAGGAGGTGTTATTGGCAATAATATTCTAGTTTGTTACCTAAACATCCAAACCTTGTAGAGATTGTATCTTCTTGTAGCTCCATAATCTCTACTGAAAGACCCGATATCCAATCTACAATTCACTGTGACTTTGGGTGCTGGTCTCAAGGAGTTTCCCTGTTGAAGCTATGCTGACCTCAAGTGATGCGGGCAGTGAGGATGCACCAAAACGCTGCAGGTCCCATCTTGCATGCTCATTTTCTGTGTTAGGAAATGAATGATATGTATGCTTTCCCTGTGTAAACATTTGTATGTTTCTCTCTTGATTTTTTCTAGCTGGAAAACTAGGAGAGATATGCTACAGAGATCCAGTCCGTAAGTAGCTTGAGTACAAGGTAGTTAACTGTCTAAGCAAAGTTTGGGGGAAAAATAAGTTGCTTTTGCTTGAATTAGCTAAAGGATGGTCTAAACATTAGTGTACCTTGGGATCCAGTTTTCACTCCCAACCCGATACCTGTCATGACGTGTACCAGGCTGAGAAATGGCCAGTATTTTTTTTGGGGGGGGGATAGAAAAAAATAAAATTGGATGTGCCCAGGCAACCATTTCTGACTTTGATTTTGCATTACATGCCATCAACTTGCCTCCAACCTACAGCGATCCTATGAATGAATGATCTCCAAAATGTCCTATCCTCAACAGCCCTGCTCACGTCTTGCAAACCCCAGCATATATTTTCCTTTAGGTAGTCATTCTATCTCGTGTTTGATTTTCCTCTTTTCCTGCTGCATTAAACTTTTCCCAACCTCATTGTCTTTTACAGAGAATCCTGCCTTCTTATAATGTGCTCAAAGTAGGACAGCTTCAGTTTCATCCAGAAATAGTGCAGGCTTGATTTGCTCTAAAAGCTGCTTGTTTATCTTTCTGGCAGTGAAGGCTTGATTTGATCTAAAAGCTGCTTGTTTATCTTTCTGGCAGTCCAGGGTATCTGCAAAGCTCTTCTCAAGCACTATATTTCAAATTAATCATTTTTTTCTGTCAGTTTTCTTTACTGTCCAACTTTCACACCCATCCATGGTGATCAGAAATACAAAATTGTGCATTATCTTGGTCTTGGTCTCTAGTGACACATCCTTACACTTGGTGATCTTTTCTAATTCCTTCATTGCTGCCCTTCTGAGTCTTAGTCTTCTTCAAACTTCTTACATGCGGTCTCTCTTTGTACTGGTGATTGAACCAAAATATACAAAATCCCTTTTTCAATTTCTTCCTCATCAATGCTAAAGTTATATAGTTCATCTGTAATCATCACTTTGTCTTCTTGATGTTCATTTGCAAGTTCAAGTGCTTTTGCACTTTCTTCTTTCACTTTCACTAAAAGTTGTTTCAAATCATTGCTGCTTTCACCCAGTAAGATGGTGTCATCTGCATATCTTAAATTATTGATATAGCAAGTGTGCTGCTTATATACTGCCTATAGCACTTAATGAACTCTCTTTGTTGGTTCACAGTTTAATTATATATGCTACACATTGCCTCTCCCCACCCACAGTGAGTTGGGTACTCAATTTACTTACCTCGGAAGGATGGAAGCTGTGTTACCCTTGAGCCAGTTCCCTGCGCACATTGAGATTGAACTCAGGTTGTGAGCAGCAACTTAACTGCAACACTGCAGTTTAACCAGTGCTCCACAAGGCTCTTCAAGAAACCACTCTGTCTCTCCATATTCTGTCTTAACAGTAGATTCTTGTCCACAATACAGGTTATGCATCAGGACAATTAAGTGCTGGGGCACACCCATTTCTTTCAGAAAAACCAAGTTTCTGAAGAACCACACAGTTAAAGGCTTTGCTATACTCTGTGAAGCATAGTTCTTCTTCTGAAATTCTTTGCTATGCTCCAGTATCCAGTAGATATTTGCAATATGATCTTGACTGCCTCTTCCTTTTCAGAATCCAGTTTGAAGCTAAAGCATTTCTCACTCTGTATAAGGTAAACACCTTTGTTGCAACAACTTGCTTGCATTGGGAAATGAAATCAATTGTTTTTTAATTACTGCACTCCGTAGCATCTCCTTTCTTGGGGATTGGAATGTATATTGATATTTCTAGTCTCTGGCCATTGTTTTATATTCATATTTGTTGGCATATTCTTGTTATTATCTGTGGCTTAAAATAGTTCCATTGCTTTTCCATCTGCCCCGTTGATTTATTTCTTCCCAGTACTTTCAGAGAAGCTTTAACTTCACTTTCTAGAATTGCAGGTCCTTTGTCATAGGGTTCATAAGATATTTCCATTCCATAATTGTCTCATTCTCACATATGTCAACAAGTACAAACACACACAAAACTCCATACTGACTTCTCTGGCTATAAACTCAGATCAAGCAGACAGAAATGTGATAAGATTAAACAAAGAGAACTGTTTTTCTCAGACTGGAAGGAGGTAAAAAGTGGGGTACCCCAGGACTCAGTCCTGGGCCCAGTGCTTTATTAATGACTTTGGTGAGGGAGTTCAGGGAATACTTATCTAATTTGTGGATGATGCAAAATTGAGTGGAATAACTAATAACTTGGAAGACAGAAACAAATTTCAAAAAGATCTTGATAGGATGAAACTTAACAGGTAAATGCAGAGTTCTGCACCAGGTGAGTGGGTGAGGAAAACCAAATGCACACTTACAAGATGGCGGATGCTTGGCTCAGTAATACTATGAGTGAGAAGGATTTTGAAATTGTTGTAAATCATAAGCTGAATGTGAGCCAATAGTGTAATGTGGTTGCAGAAAAGGCCAATGCTATTTTAGACCACACTAACAGAGGTATAGTCTCTAAATCCTATGGAGTACTAGTTGCCTTTATTCGGCGCTGGTTAGACCTCATCTTGAGTACCATGTCCAGTTCTCACAGAATGATTCCAACAAACTGGAACAAGTTCAGAGGAGGGCAACAAAAATGATCAGGAGACTGGAAACCAAACCCTGTGAGGAATGACTGAGAAGAACTGAGCATGATCAACCTTGAGAAAAGAATATGGGGAGATATGATAGCACTTTTCAAATATTTGAAAGATTCTCATACAGAAGAGAGGCAGGATCTGTTCTGAGACATCCCACAGTACAGCACACGTAACAATGAGCTCAAATTACAGGAAGCCAGATTTCGGTTGAATATCAGGAAAAAACTCTTAACTGTTAGAGCAGTATGACAGTGGAACCAATTACTTCAGGAGGTGATGAGTGCTCCAATGCTGAAGGCATTCAAGAGAAAATTGGACATCTGACAGATCCACTTTGATTTGGATTCCTGCACTGAACAGTAGGTTGGACACACTGGCCTTCCAAATCAATTATTCTATGATTCAATGGCATCCATATACAGTCCCCCATATCCACTGGGGATTGGTTTCAAGACTCTGTAGATACTGAAAACCATGGATAAAACCTGTGGTGGTGAGGGGATAATATGAAGAACTTCAGAAGTTAACTGGGATTAGAAGTTAACAGGCTAGTTCTATGTCATTAAGGTCTTCAAAGATCAGAGCCAGCATCTTGAACAGCACAGAAAGAATTATGTTAATCGGTAAAGGTGGTAAAAGGTCAGAAAAATATTATCCACTCTGTTGTCACCAGACAGACTGTTACGTAATCAACACCATTATGGCCATTGGTTATATGTTCTATCAGATTATGTTTGGTACCTCTATTTTTGCAAGTCTGATTTAGTAATTTTCAAGCTACCCTGCCATATTGTCATGTCATAACTATTAGTCTCTCTTGTCTTGAAAAATGTCCACTGAAGTGCTAATTGGCAACTTCTGGGTGTTTTAGCTGGATGTCCTGAGATGGAAGACCTAAATGAACCTCTCGTTGGTGCTACCATACAAGTGTATTCAACCATTACTTCTCAACTGTTGCCCACTCCAGCAAAATCCCATTATACGTTTAATCTCAGGGACCTATCCAAGGTTTTCCAGGGGATGCTCATGGCAGAACCTTCCAAAATTGAGGTGAGTGTTCCTTTCACAATATCTGTTGTGCAGCAGGAGACCAATTGAATAGAAATCACATACTATTTTCTGATAAATGAACTGCAAAAATAGTTATTCATATTTTGTACACTTAATACCACCCAATGCAAGCAAGAGATATTCTATTTTCATCTGGGAGTTGTAGCTTTTCCCTGTTTTGGTAGCCTCCAAAAGTAGGCTTTCATTCCATAATTTACTCTTAGCCATCCTATTCCTAAGTACTTTAGTATCAGGGAGAATCATCTGAGTATCCATTAAACATCTAGCATCAACATCTGAGTGCATGGGCTTATCCACACAATTCCAATTTGCTGGTGTCTTGCTTGTTTGCGTATAAAGATTATTGTGATATAAGTTAGATTAAAAACTAAGGATTCCTGCTGTAACAGCACTGGATCAGTGACTTTGGAGCAATATGTAAAATGAGAAACTTTGAAAATACATAAGAAATGATCAGATTTGTGGGGGTTTTTTTAGAAAAACTGTTCTGTGTTCCTGCAGAACACAGAACAGTTTTTTCCACTAAACTTCTATTTTCCTCCAGAGATGGTGAATTACAATTTATGTAAGGTTCTAGGAGTTCTTTAAGTTGTTCCTGGTTTTCTTTTCCAGGATAAACTGCAGCTGCTGAGACTATGGTATCATGAGAGCTGTCGGGTGTTTCGTGACCGCCTGGTTAATGATGAGGACAGAAATTGGTTTGATGATCTTATGAAGGACATGATGTTGGAATGGGGAACTACCTTTGATGAAGTTGTTCCCTTTCAGCCCCTTCTCTATGGGGATTTCATGGTGCCTGGTGCTGATGTGAAGCTTTATGAAGTGATTGATGACAAAGAAAAGGTAATGGACTTAGGATCTTTCACTGCCTGCAGGATCTTTTTTTTATTTTGATTCATCAGCCCTAATGTGGGTGTAGTTAATAAATATAGTTGATGTCCTGATCTGGGTTTCTAGAATATCTTGGCTACAGGAAATTAACTTGGCTATTGTCGGAAGCATTTGTGATTCCCAGTGCCAAAAGAAAAGTGTGGGGGGGCGGCGGCGGTGGAACTAGGATTGTATAAACTAAATTCTAGAAACATGCTGAGAATGATAGATGGAAGAGGATAGAACAGACCTAGATATGCTGTTTTCTCCTAAGGCCCCCTGCTTCTCTTGGTGTTCAGCAAGTATTAAAGAACAGCTGGGAATCTGTTATGCAGATGACTAGAGCACAGTACTTAAGCTTAGAAAATGCAATAAACTAGGAAGGAGAACACGTTTTATGTTCATAGTACTGCAGTGAATGCCATTAAAATCTTTACAGCTGACCTTTGCAGGTGATTATCCTTCCTACAGAACTCCCAAGTGGAAGGATATTGCGCATACTGAGAAAATGTTAATTAAGCAAAGGATAAAAATATAAAGAGTTTAATAAGCAGCAGTGTACTTTCCATTCACTGCCATGAAGTCAAGGATAATTATAACAGTATGCTTTCTTTCATGATCACTAAGTGAATAATAGTAATTAATTATTCCAGCCTCTTGATAGGCAAAAGTTTGTCACACCTATTACTCAGATGGATAAATTGTGACTAATTTAAGCAACTTCATAAAGTGACATAGTAGCTGGCCTGAGGCTGGTGTTTTTAAAGTCCTGACCAGTCTTTTGATCTAAACCCTTTTGGGCTCAACTGTAATTCAGAGTGGACATCAACAGAGAAGTTATGATGGCGTTTGTGCAACATCTTGTTTGAAGAATCAGGTTTTCCTTCTGACTGGCCTTCTGAAACAGGCATGGAGGAAGATGGTATTCCGCATGGATGCCCCACTTGAAAAATTGCATTCTTAGTGATTTTTCTTTTCTTCTCTTCTCTGCCCTAGCTTATGAATGTAATTGAAGAGTACATGGAGGAGTACAATCAAATCAATACCACAAAGATGAAGCTAGTGCTGTTCATGGATGCTCTGCAGCACATTTGCCGCATCACCCGAATTCTACGCCAGGCATTGGGCAATGCTCTTCTCTTGGGTGTCGGTGGCAGTGGAAGGCAATCTCTCACCAAGCTAGCATCCCATATGTAAGATATGAATGTATGCCACACATATCTAACCTGGTAGACTGTAAAATGATTGCCTGCTGGGAGGTCATTTCAAGTAGGTTTTCCCTTTGATACCTACTCCTTCGTGTCCTGCCTTGAAGTTCAGCTTACGTACATCTTACTAAGGAGAAATACTGACCATGTTCGCTCAAGATTACAAACATATAGAAATCAATTGCAGTGATGGAATGTGTAGCGTCTGCCATCCCCTCTAAGATACTGACATGCTTCCGGGTCCATCTGCCATCCACATCTGACTTTGGATGAGGGCCTAACATGAGATAGAAGACCTTACATCAGTGAAGGAAGTCTAGCTTTTTAATTTACAAAATTAAATGTTAATGTTAGGACCTTTTAAAGGTCATTGATTCATAGAATCTCCATAGAAAACAAATGATTTGACAACACTGAACAAGACCTGTGCACGGAGAGTATAATATTTATAAGTTCAGTCTGTGTGACTGCTACCCCTTAAAATGATAGAGTTGCTTATCATGCCAATGTGTGTTAGACTTTGCTCATATAAGCCATATTTCATCATTGGCCTAAATCCAATTACTGGTCTCAACTAAAGTAAATGTGTTCAATCAGTTGAATGTTAGCACTTTTATAAATCCACTAATTCAATGGATTGGCTTGAGATCAGTCTAGCAATTGAATTAAGGTCATTATGTGCCGTCTCTATGGAACAGGTGTACCAGCTAGGCAAGCAGGTGCAGTCCTGCTCCTCCAGCTCTGATCAGAAGCTAGAAACCACTGGTGAGAGAATCTACTGCTTTGTTCTACTCAGGATTGTTGCCTTTAATTCATGTCAATCATTCTCTATTTTTAACATGATGTCATCATCTTTTCTTAGAAGGTGTTCATGAGGTGTAGATTTCTGAGATGACAGAATGTATATTGATTATATGTGTATTTATATTTTATTTATAAAATCATCTCTGAGTCATCTTCTCCCCCTAAGCATCTTCCTGTCTTAGACTAGAACACTATTTGAAAACTTAAAACAATGCCATAACACAGCATAGCAAATTAAAAACAGGAGAGAAACATCCTTAAAAGAGAGACATAAGTGAATTAATAGTCTAAGAAAACAAGAGTTAAAATTGTTCGAAGTAGAGTTAATATATTTTGAATCCTTCATGTAGAACACTGTCCCTAAAACTATGGACCAGTCAAACCTCTTTGGAGAGAGAATGCTATGGCAGAGATGCTGTCGTAGGAAAGTCCCAGCTTCAGGTTCTTGAATCTTGATCGTGGGACATAATAAAAGTGCCCTTGAAGCAAATCTTAAATTTTGCTAAGATTTATGTGGATGGAGGCAATATTTGAGATATCAAAAGCTTATATACTGCCCCAGAGTGCTTAAAGCACTCTCTGAACCGTTCAAAATTTAATTATACAGGCAGCACATTACCCCCACTTAGGTACTCAAGCTAAGTACTGAATTTGTCTGCCTTAGAAGGATGAAAGGTTACCCAAGCCTGTCAGAATCAAACTCAGATCTGAGCAGAGGCTTGACTGCAGTACTACAGTTTAACCACTGTGCCATGAAGCTTCTTGGTTTCCTGGTTTCAGACTATTTAGAGCAGGGGTGTCCAACCTTTCACCTTCCCTGGGCCACATTAGAAGATGAAAATTTGGTTTGGGCCGCATGGGGGGGCAACCCTAGCCATCCTCCACAGCCCCGCTCCAAGCGCACTTACCGGCAGCTGCGATCTCAGACAACAGAGGCTGCCAGCTTCGACTCTGGTGGCTTTATGGGGCTGGGAGGGGGTCCACCTATTGACTCTCTGAGCCATTCAAAATTTACAGTAATTATACAGGCAACACATTACCCCCGCTTAGGTACTCAAGCTAAGTATTCAATTTGTCTGCCTTAGAAGGATGAAAGGTTAACAAAGCCTGTCAAAACCAAACTCAGGTCTGAGCAGAGGCTTGACTGCAGAACTACAGTTTAACCACTGTGCCATGAAGCTTCTTGGTTTCCTGGTTTCAGATTATTTAGAGCTTTACAGCTGAGAAACAGCAACTTAAATTTTATCCAGAAAGAAATTGGTTGCCAATGCAGTTGATATGATTGTGATGTGACCTGGCCGCATTCTGGCCGCAAGCGCCGGCAGCGTAACTTGAAACTTTGGAATTTTTTTTAAAATAAAAAAATGCACTGGGCCGCATTATGAGCCTACCTGGGCTGCATGCGGCCTTCGGGCCGCAGGTTGGACAAGCCTGGTTTAGAGCTTTACAGCTGAGAAACAGCAACTTAAATTTTATCCAGAAAGAAATTGGTTGCCAATGCAGTTGATATGATGCGATCAACAAAGCACAGAGCAGAAAACAGTCTAGCACCTACATTTTATACTAATTATTGTTCCAAACGCACTTCAAGGACAGTCTCACATTGCAGTTGTTTAATCATCAGATGATCAAGTCATGTTCACTTTCATCAGTAAATATTTTAGTGAGCTTCCTGAAGTAATTCTCTACATGGGCCCTAATATGTCCATGATCCAAAGAAGTGATGTGTCTACACAGAAGAGAACCACGATTCACGTGGAACATGTTTTTTATACAGATGTGGGGTTTTTTATTATTGCTGAAGAATAAGGCCCTTGTTTCATTTCACAAGTGTTTTGTTTTGTTGGCAGTCAGAATTGCTGTAAGAAGAACACACAAGAAAATGGTAGGTATATATATGGTGAATCATATATATATGGTTTGGTTTCATGTACATATTACCATGCTCTGATTCTTTTGTTTTTAGAGCTGATTATGAATGTTTCCAAATTGAACTTTCCAAGAACTATGGAATGGCTGAGTGGAGAGAAGACATCAAAAAGATCATGCTGAAGGCTGGTCTGCAAAGTTTGCCCATCACATTTCTGTTCACTGATACACAGGTAATGATGTTGTTAGCAAACTGCAAACCTAAGATGTCTTAGTGTTTAGTTAGCTAGCTCCTTTATACGAGACATGAAAGGATGGTCAGATTTGTCTCAACAATGCTTAATCTCTGCTACAGTCCTCCCTTTTTCTTATGTCTGTTTTTTCTCCCACCACACAACATCATCTTGGAAAGCTCTGACCTTTTCTCTCTGAAGAGAATCCATGGTGTGTTTGATAACTGAATGTCTCCCTTGATAGTGCCATGAATTCTGGCTATGAAAGTGTTACGTTGTTTAACCCAAGGATGGACAGCATACAATTTGTAGACTGTATTTGGATCCCCCAGGATTCATATGCAGCCGCCAGGTCACTCATTTAAAAAACAGAAAGAAAAAGAAACAGTTTTGCTCAAAATGTTATTTTTTTGCAGTCTGGGGGCATAGCAGATAATTTTGCCATGCTTTGAGGCTCCCAGAAATCCTGCCTTCTATTTTTGTAAGGGTTCCCCAGAAACGTATGCAGTCCTCCAAGGTCCAGGGATGGGTATCGATATGGGTATGTGTGGCCTGCATACATTTGGAGAGTGCAGATCTGTGATTTAACACATGAGCCAATTTTTGCAAGCCTTCTGTTCAAAATTAAGATTACACCTCTTAAACTTGCAATATCCTGGTGATATTGCATACTTTTAGGGTTTACAGAAATGAACTCTGGATGGATCTCCTCTTATGCAGCCCTATATAGCCACTTTGGGTCCTTTTTAAGGAGAAATGCAAGGTAAAACTATTTAATTAATTAATCAATTTGTTATAGTCTGTCTATTCCACATGCCCAATCTTATGGCTGAAAATTACCTGTTGCAGTAAATAAACTATGCTGCTGGGTTATTGTGTTCTAGAGACTTCAGCTATGTTGATTATTATTTATTAATGTTACGTTTGCATCAGAGTGGGCATTTGAGTGTATCTTCAGCTTCCCAAAGTAATTTTCGCATTGAAACCGAGTAAACTTCATAAGGATTTGAACCTCTGCTTTCCATCTCTATACCCAGCACTCTAGTCAATTGTATCTTACTGGCTCTCAGATACAAGAAAAACAAAAAGAAAGAAACAGGTTTCTCAAATAGTGCCACATTGCTCTTGAGCGAAGGGGTCTCTCTGAAGAGAAAGTTCAGTCTCTAAAACACGGTGGGCCATTTCCAGATGTCAGCCTCCTACCACCACACACAGACGCACACACCTGAGACATTGGAAAACCATACTCATATCAGCTGCCATGCTTGTCCACTGCCAAAAAATATTTTTTTCTCATTTTTTAAAAACGGAAACACCCCCTGCTGCTCCTGCTGCTATCAGCTACGGAGACCAACACTACCTGTTTTTTGTTGTTTGCTGCTCCTATACTGTTTCAGTTGACTTTTAGTTTTTTTGGGGGGGAAAGCCACACGTTGGACAAAGAACAACTGGTGGGGAACTTGACAAGGTAGCCCCTTACACTTCCTAGAGGACACAAAGGGATAGTGAGAGAGAGAGAGAGCAGAGGGGCTGAGAGGCGAATTTCGGCCCCTGGAAGTCACATGTGGCCTTCAGGCAATGTTTTAACCACCCGTGCTCTAAAGCAGTAAGAATACTGCTGACAAGGAAATAACACTTTAAAAAGTTGTGGGAAGACATAAATAATGCTGGTACTGCAGATAACCCCTTCATGGATTGCTGCCTTGTCGTGGCGAAGGGGCTTGAGTAACTCAGGGAAGCTATGGGCTATGCCGTGCAGGGACACCCAAGACGGACAGGATATAGTGGAGAGTTCGGACTAAACGTAATCCACCTGGAGTAGGAAATGGCAATGCCACTCCAGTATCTTTGCCAAGAACACCCCATGATCAGAAACAAAAGGCTAAAAGATATGACGCTGGAAGATGGG